TCGGGTCCGCGCTTCCCCCGCCCGAGGAGGCCGCCGGGGTGGGCAGGGGCTGGGGTACCCGCGGCCTGGCTGTCCCTGGGTGCCCCGGCGCCGGCCGAGCGTGAGCTGTGCCAGGCCGTGCCGAGCCGTGCCACACCGTGCCCAGCCCTACCGGGCGCCGCGGAGGGCCATGGCGGGGGACAAGCAGGGAGCAGGCCGAAGGGTGCCCGCGGCTTCTCAGCCCCCACCCGCCGTGTCTGCCCACCGGTGCCCGGGCGGGACGGCCGCCGCTGCCTCCCTGGTGCTGCCGGTGGGGTGTTGGAGAGAGGAGAGGGAGCGCTGGGGGTGCCGGTACCGGTGCCGGTGTCCAGCTCTGTCCCCATAGAGTGTCCCGGGGCTGCCAGCCTGGGGAAGGGGATGGGGGACTCTCCTCGCCCCGGGGGCTGGGGACCCCACCTCGGCTCCGGGGGACAGCTCGGGGCAGGCTGGCAGGGAGGGCTCCGAGGGAGCAGGCCAGGGGCTGCAGTCACCCCCAGAGCAAGGGACAGGGCAGGTCTGGAGGAGGGCTCTGGCCGTCCCCAACCCTGATGGTCGGTGTGCCACCCACCCCCTGAGTGTCCCCAGCACAGGGGATGACGAGGTCTGGGTGCTGTGTGAGGTCCTCCCATCCCGTGCCCTCCAGCTGTCACAGGTGGGCTGTCCTGTGTCCCCTGGCCACCCTGTGCCCCCCCCCAGCCACCCCCACGGCCATCTGTGTCCCCTGGCCGTGCTCTGTGCTGGTCCAGATGGCCCCGCTGGCACATCCTGCTGCCAGGACAGGAATAGCACCTCTGGCCACAGCTACCTCGGGACCTGAGCTGCCTCGTGGCCACCACTGTCCTCGGTCCCTCACACGTGGTCACAGCCCATAGCAGAGACACAGGGCAGCCCACCACCCTGTCCAAAGTGACAATGCTGCCACCCTGGAGATGCTGTCCCCACCGTGGGGCTGTCCCAGCTGCTCTCCACATGGCGTGTCCCCATTTCTGCCTCCACAAGCCCTGCCTGGCAAGAGCCACCACAGCCCCAGGCACCCAAACCCGCACACCCCCGGGGAGCACAGCACCCACAAACACCTTGCCTGCTGGCTGTGTCATCGGGACTGCATCCAACCACCTCGAAAGGTTCCCAACCCCATCCTGGGGCTGGTCAGGGAGCCTCTCACCCACCTTGAGGGGGGCACAAGGCTGGAGATGGGGCGCCCAGACCCACAGCACCTGGGGGGACCCCACAGAGAGGCTTCGCCCACTGCAGCCGCAGCGGCAGCGCCTGTTTGCAGAGGCATCGCTCGATACGCAGTATGTTCTTCAGAAGATCCCTACTCCAGGAGTCAAAATAGCATGAAATTTAATTTTACGCCTATTTGACAAAGCTAGATTTCGCCTCCAATCAGCGGGGAGATAAGAGCCCTCGGCACAAGTGCGCGGCCAGTTTGGCAGCTGGGGCTGCCGATTTAATAGGTGAATTTACAGGAACAACACTTGAAAATCCCCTGGCTAGTGAACCATTAAGGTGAGCCCTGCCTTCCGTCCCCGCGTCCCTCCCCGCGCCGCTCTCCCGTTGCTGGGTGCTAAAGCAAACCCCGGCTCTGTTTACCGAGTCTACTATTACAATACGGCTACCAAATATTTGCCAGCCGCCAGCTCGCTGCTCCGCTATAAATACTTCAGGCCCAGGTGGAGGGACGGCGAGGGGGAGCGGCGCGGGAGCCTATGCATGGCCGGGCGGCAGCGCCAAGGTGAGTGCCGAGCCGCGGCCCCGGGCGATGCCCTCCTGCTCCAGGGGGGTTTCTCCAACCGAGGGTGGCAGGGGGGACGGCTGGCTCCATCCCCGGGGTGGCCCCAGGAGGCTGAGCCCCCCCAGAGCGGCACGGAGGCAGGACTGGGGGTCCCACGATGGGGACAGCACAAAGAGGGAGGGTGCGGTGACCCCGGGGACGGCAGCGGTGCTGTCTCAGGCTGGGCGCGGGGCTCAGCACCGTGCTTGGAGTGGCAGGAGCAGGATTTGTCCCCCAAAGTTTTGTTCCCTGCCCCAAGACCCTCTCGTGGGCTGGGGCAATGGTGGTCCCAGGCACGTAGCCAGGGATGCCCTGCAGTGAGGCAGGGCTGGGGACCCCACTCGATACAGAGGGGCCTCATCCAGCTCGGTAAGACCCAGCCATGGCCAGAGCCCATCAGGGCGGTGGAGGGAGGTGGCTGGGCTCACCCCATGGCAGGGAAACCTGTGGGGCTATTGCGTGGGCAGGCCTCGGGGACTAGTGTCCTGGGGGCTCAGCCCAGGGTGGGCGCTGAGCCCCATTCGCCCCCATGGATAGTCTCAGGGTGAAGGGGAAATAAGACCCAGCCATGACCAGAACCCAGCAGGGCGGTGGAGGGAGGTGGCCAGGCTCACTCCATGACAGGGAAACCTGTGGGGCTATTGCGTGGGCAGGCCTTGGGGACTAGTGTCCTGGGGACTCAGCCCAGGGTGGGTGCTGAGCCCCATTCACCCCCATGGATAGTCTCAGGGTGAAGGGGAACATCCCGCTGCCCCACAGCTCGGGGGGATGTTTCCACTACCCTACATCCCATGACTTGGTGAGGACATCCCTGCTGCCCCATGTCCCACACATCAGTGAGGACATCCCTGCTGCCCTACATGCCGTGACTTGGGGAAGTTCCCATTGTCCCACCTCCCACGGATTCGGGTGGACATCCCTGCTGTCTCCCATCCCACGTCTTGGTGAGGACATTCCCGCTGCCCTATGTCCTGTGGCTTGATGGCATCCCTGTTGCCTGGTGTCCCAGGGTTCAGTTCAGACATCCCCACTGTCCCATGTCCCCTGATTTGGATGGGGGGAGGAGGGATGATATCCCTGCTGCCCCATATCCCATGTCTTGGTGTGGACGTCCCTGCTGCTTGATGTCCCACATCTCGGTGGGGATGTCCCTGCTGTCCCATGTTCCGTGACTATTCTATGATGCTCTGACTTAGGAGGAACATCACCACTGCCCCGTATCCCATGGCTTGGTGGGGACATCCCCACTGCTCCATGTTCCCATGGCTTTTGGGGACATTCCTGCTGCCCTGCAGCCCCACTCTGGCCATGGCATGGCACGACACGGTCCCCCTGCTCCCTTGGGGCCATGTGCAGGGTGGCGGGTCAGGTCAGGTGCCACCCTCACCCCGTTGTCCCTGCCCGCAGGGTGAATCCGGGACCTGGGGTGCCCCTGCGCACTGACATGGCTGCGGGCATCATCCGGCCCCTGGCAGAGCTGCGGCTGCCCTCGCCCTTCCCGCACAGCCTGCTGCTGCCCACACGCCCCGAGCCCGACTTCCCTGACCTCTCCGAGGAGGAGGAAGAGGAGGAAGAGGAAGAAGAGGAAGAGGAGGTGGCAGAGGAGAGTGTGAGGCCAGAGCTGGCCATCCCCAGCGCCGCTGAGACCACCCTGCGGCTCCTCAAGTTTTCGGAGCTCATCAGCTGTGACATCCAGCGCTACTTCGGGCGGCGGGGCCAGGAGGAGGCCACCGGCAGCCACGGCGTGCCCGAGGACTGCGGCTCGCCCCGGCGTGCCGAGGGCCAGCCCGAGGCCGTGGCACTGCGGGGCGGCCCCGGGGCCACACACAGGCTAGGGCCACTGGCCGAGCTCTTCGAGTATGGCGTGCACCGTTGCCTGCCACCCCGGGCAGCCGGCGGCAAGACGCAGCGGCTGGAGAGGAAATATGGCCACATCACCCCCATGCACCGGAGGAAGCTGCCACCCTCCTTCTGGAGGGAGCCAGGGCCCGGCCCCGTTGGCCTCCTCCACACCGGTACCCCCGACTTCAGCGACCTCCTGGCCAACTGGACGGTGGAGCCAGGGCCGGAGCTGCCGGGCACCGGGCGGGAGCTGCCCCCCGAGCCGGGCCACCCAGGGCTGGAGGCCGAGCCCTTTGCCGGGCTGTGACCCCACCATGGCCCTGGGGGCCCCCCGGCACCGCCACGTGCCGTCCGGTTAATGATAAACCCGGTGGCCCCGGTGCCAGCGCTGGCGATGGGACGAGTGAATAAATGACTCCCGCCAGGCACCAGCGTATGCGGTGTCCTTTGCCACCCGCCACCACCGTGTCCCTGCTGCCAGTGACAAAGGGCCACCGGCAGCAGGAAGAGGAGGGAAGCGCGGCGCCGGCAGGAGCCAGCAGCCCGTGTTTACTCTGCGGCCCAAGTCGGTGGATCCCATCCCCTTATCTCGGCCGCGCCGGGGCAAAGGGCGACGCGGGGCCTCATAAAGCACCCGGCTGCCAGCACCTATTGGGGACCCATCACCACCTCGCTGCGCCCCACGGCGGGGCCAGGGATGGGACCCACACAGGAGGGCAACCAGCCCTTCCCCACGGCCCCCGCCGCCGGACCTGGCTGTTACCAGGGCCCAGCCGAGGCATCCTCCGCTTTGTGGCGGCTCTTTGTTGGCCTTGAAAAGGAAAAGCAGAGGGGAAGGGGCAGCTGCCCACCCCCCGCCTTGAGCACTGCAGCCCTACCGGGGGGCTGAGAAAGGCAGGGGGACCCCCCCAGCAGTGGGGTTGGGGCTCAGCTCAGCCCCAAGGGGACACCAACAGACATGGCACTGAGCCTGGGCAGTGTCAGAAGCAAGGAAGCAAGAGACAGGTAGCACCACGATAAAAGTACAAACAGGCTTTATTTCAGCACGTTATCCCGCAGTCAAGAGCCCCCCCAGGCACCAGGTTGCTCCTGCTGAAGAGAGGAGGGGGCAGCCCCAAGCCAGGGCCAGGAGCAATGCCAAGGTGAGGAGCAAGGATGGGGGGAGCTGAGGTGCCAGGGCTAGAGCCCTCCTCATCACACAGGGGAGTGCAGGCTCTGCTCCCTGCCCAGATCCAGGGCTGGTGATGGGTTTTGGGGTGCCTGGTGGGGTCCAGGCTGCTGAAAAGAGCAGAACAAGTTGCAGCAGGTAGAGAAACACACCCAGGGGCAACCCCAGACCTGGATATGGGCAGAGGTGGCAGCAGCAATGGTGCAAGAAGGGCAGGAGTGGCAGAGGAGCACACACTAGGGACAAAGGCTGCAGGACCAACACTCCCCCAGAGCAGGCAGCTCTCCCTCTCCCATCCCTGCCCCAAACCCCAGGGGTGTCTACCCACATGGGGGTTGGGGTCAGGGCAGCCACGGGAGCCAAGAAAGAGCAAGAGGGAGCAGCTGCTGAACTACAGGAGCCCTTTTATTGCACAGCTGAGCAGGGCAGAGACGCAGGAGCCTGCCCCAGGGCTCAGCCTGACCCAGCCAGCAGGAGCACAGGGCAGTGGGGACAGGGCCCTGGGAGCAGGAGGGACCCCCACCACATCCCCTTTGCTCCCCACATGGACCCTGCAAGCAGGATGAGATGGAGGCCACATGCCACAGCAGAGGACTGTGCCCAGCTCAGCAGGGCATCTCTGCTGCCCCTGGCACGCTCCAGCCTTCACCCAACCCTCAGGGAGAGCCTATCCCAGGAGCTAACAGAGCCAAGGGTGCATTTTAATCCCCTGGGGAAGCAAGGGAAGGGGGGAGAAGAGGAGGCAGTAGACATAGGAAGGCAGCAGTGGGCAGGAGAGCTGGGGCAGCACGGCCGTGCCGGTGCTCCGGGCACCGCGATGTCTGCACAGGCTGGCCCAGTCCTCTCCCCGCCTCCCGCAAAAGGGGGTCCCCAGCTCTGAGGACCATCTCGAGGGGCTGGGGCACATCTCCGCTGGGCAACGCAGCCCCACATCACGTCTGCGCCAAGGAGAGCTCCTCCAGGCCTTCCTTCCCCAGCCGGTACCTGGCGAGGTCCTTGCGGGTGACCATGCCCACCACCTGCCGGGAAAGGGACAGAGTGCAGAGCCTGGGGACAAGGGCAGTGTCCCCCCAAGGAGCCCACACACGGTGAGCAGGGACCCACCTCGTTGCGATTGTCCACGACCACCAAGTGCCGCAGTCCCAGGGCTCGGAAGAGCTTGAACACCCGCGGCAGAGACGCCTCCTGCAAGGCAGAGCGGGGCTGCGTGGGCTGCGGCACCCCCAGCCAGCACCCACAGCCCACCCACGATCCCCAGGATGCTGGGGTGCAGAGGGGTCCCTGGGGTGTTACCTGAGGCACCGTGTAGGGCGAGGGGTTCATGAACTCGCTGAGGTCGATCATGCACTCGCGCTCGTCCTGGGAGACGTGGATGGACTGGATGGGGGGGAAGCGAGGGTAGGCGTCCCGAAAATCCTTCAGCTTCAGCCGCCGCTGTACCAGGCTCAGGTTGGCCCTTTCCACAAAAACCTTGGGAGGAGAGAGACACCATTGGGGACCGTCCCACAGCACCGACAGGCACCAGGGCCAGCACAACGTACAGGGGCAGGGAGGGAAGAGGGCAGGAGCATGGGGCAGATGGACCATCTGCAGAAGAACAGCCCATTTCCCATTCCCTCAGGGTTTGGGAGATCGGTGGGGTGGCAGGATGATGCTGGGGTAACACCAGCACGGGATGGCAGCGTACACCATCTCCTCAGGTGAGCAGAGGGAGATGACAAGGACCCTCAACCAGCTCTTACTGAGCAAGGCAGGCAGCAAGGGGCCTGAGGCAGCAGTGGGACAGGGACACGGGGGCTCAGACACAGCCTGAACCGTTTCCACGCAGCATCACCCACCTTGTGCTTCAGCAGGACGATGAGAGACACAGGGGCTCAGACACAGCCTGAACGGTTTCCACGCAGCACCCACCTTGTGCTTCAGCAGGACGATGAGCTGTGAACGCAGGATCAAACCCCGCAGTCCTGCCACCTGCGAGAGAGCACCACACGTGAGATGGGGCTGGGAAGAGGGTGGCACAAGGGCGAGGGTCCCACACCACAGCCAGCCCTCATGGGGCATTCCCTCACCATCGGTGCCTAGCCCACCTGTGTGGTGTCAGGGTTGCTCTCCACCACTGGAAAGCCGTTGTGGTTGGAGGAGGTGTCACTGAGGATGTCCACAACTGTCCCCACTCGCTCAATCCTCCGCAGGCAGGTGACAGGAGTGCTCATGACCTCCCTGCAGGGAAGGCTCGGTGTGAAACGAAGCCCCATGCCCCAAATGTCCCCCCTCAATACACACCCCTCTGCAGCCCTGATGCCTCCTCTGTCCCCAAAACCTGCCAGGGACACCAGGAGAGAATGCACTGGAGGCCACAGTCCCTGCTGGGGAAGGTGGTCCAGAGGACAGCAGGCTTCTGGAACCAAAGCGTGTCACCACCTCTATTTCCAGCTCAGACCAACAGTGCGGTCCAAAGGCTGCTGCCCCAGGAGTGATGATTGTCCCCCAGCCCACCTACCTGGCCGTGAGGGAGTGGGATGTCACCGGGGCCTCCCAGTGCAGGAAGGGCACGCTCTGCAGCTGGATGTGCATGTCGTAGAGCCCCTGCAACAACAGCCGAGCCGTCAGGAGAAGCCTGACGAGATGCCGTGGGGTACAGCCAGGCAGCAGCTCCAATCTGAGAGGGAGCACACCCTTGTCCTGGCACCCCCCGTAGCTCCCCAGCACCCCCACAACCCACAGCCTCTCACCAGGTCCCAGGCCCCCAGTGAGCACACCAGCCCTCACCTCCACAAAGTAGTCTCCCACAATCTTTGCTGTCATCAGCACCAGCATGATGGGGAAGCCATAGGTGACATTGCCCGTTGCCTCCATCATGATGACAGTGAGACTCAGTGTCATCCGCACTATCCCACCTGTGAGAGTCACCCAAGAGGTTTAGTGGGGCAGGGAAACATGGGGTGAGGGAATAGCAAAGCATCCGAAGCCCCTCAGCCTCTGCACGTAGGATGGTTAGAGTTGGAAGGGACCTTAAAGATCATCCAATGCCATGCCCTGCCCTGGGCAGGGACACCTCCCACCACACCACGTTGCTCCAAGCCCCCTCCAACCTGCCCTTCAACCCCTCCAGGGATGGGGCAGCCACAGCTTCTCAGGGCAACCTGGGCCAGGCTCTCACCACCCTCACACCAAACAAGTTCTTCCCCACATCTCAGCTCCATCTCCCCTCTTTCAG